CTTTCTTCTATATGATTCCTGTCTTATTATATTTGATTTCTTCACCCCTGTCCTGTGCTATTCTTATTCTTTTTGATGCTTTCCTTAGAGTCACCATGACTTCAAAGTGCAACCCATAGACTATACTCAGCCTTTACCACTTTACTATTTGCCCCTTAACATCTGTTACCAATACTCTGCTGAAATTCTTCTTCATCAGATCTAAGGGCTTTTTCTCAGTCCTCAACCTTCTCTAGCATAACGAACTTGTCAACATTTTCTCTTGTTGAGCACACCTGAGTTTTTCTCCTTCCATCTCTAATACCTGTCCCCTATGTCACCAGGTCCAAAGATCATTTTTAAGAAAAAAGTAAAATCAGCTCTCATACAAATATAAAATGAACACGTCAAAGATTCATTTAACTCATTAATTAATGAGGGAATCAATAAGATGTTACAACTGGTTCAATAAAGCAAAAAAAACACACATATATAGTCAATCAGGAATGCTGAAATGAATTTACAAATAGATACAAAACTGGTCAGTATCCACAGGGTAATAATCAGTGGCATAGAATTGCAAAGAAAATGAAAGTGGGGATAACCCTGAAGTGTATACTAGATAGGACACCCAATAATTTTTTTTGCCCATTTCAAAGTCTTTTACAAATTTTCCTGGCATACTTTCTCTGTCTCCTGAATTCCATTTTATGAAAGTGTTTTCCATGATTGTCCCCCCATTCTTTTTCCCCCCTCATTCTACACTGTGCTTAACATCAGTTTAACATCTTCAAGTTTCAGTTTCACCTTTCCAATTGCTTATTAGATAATTCCACCTAAAGTTTTCCTTTATAACCTCAAACTTAACTTTTCCCAAAATAGAACTTACCAAACTTCTCACTGAGCCTTTTTCTTCTCTTTTACCAATTTCAACTAAGAGGACCTTCATTTTTCTGGCCTCAAACCTTGGAGTCATGTTTGGTATCTCTCTTTATCTTTTCCTTCATATCCAATAAACACTCTGCATGCTTCTTGAATAATATTTCTAGGATCCACCCCCTCTGCCAGTTATCCGTGCTGTTTGTGATATGTATACTGCATAATGGTTCTGCATAATGTATACTGCATAAGGTTTTCTACTTGAATTTTCTCAAATATGTCTAGCCTGGCCCTACACCTCTACGAAGTACTTTTGATACTGGCAGAATACTATGGGCTCAACATAAAAGGACCATTCTACCAATATGCTTAATGTTTCATGGACATCGTATCCTGGACTGCTCAGTCTGACTTACCCAAATCTTGCTTTTTCCACTCTTTTCATACCCTTGACTATAAGGCCAACTGCCTGCTTAGCATATCTACCTTACTCTCTGAGCTCATATGGAGACAAACGGGGCATCAGGATTGGAGGAAGACTCATTAACAACCTGCATTATGCAGATGACACAACCTTGCTTGCTGAAAGTGAAGAGGACTTGAAGCACTTACTGATGAAGATCAAAGACCGTAGCCTTCAGTATGGATTACACCTCAACATAAAGAAAACAAAAATCCCCACAACTGGACCAATAAGCAACATCATGATAAATGGAGAAAAGATTGAAGTTGTCCAGGATATTATTTCACTTGGATCCACAATCAACACCCATGGAGGCAGCAGTCAAGAAATCAAACAACGCATTGCATTGGGCAAATGTGCTGCAAAAGACCTCTTTCAAGTGTTAAAAAGCAAAGATGTTACCTTCAAGACAAATGTATGACTGACCCAAGCCATGATGTTTTCAATCGCCTGTCTCATATGCATGAGAAAGCTGGGCAATGAATAAGGAAGACCTAAGAAGAATAGACGCCTTTGAATTATGGTGTTAGTGAAGAATATTGAATATGCCATGGACTTCCAGAAGAACAAACAAATCTGTCTTGGAAGAAGTACAGCCAGAATGCTCCTTAGAAGTAAGGATGGCGAGACTTCATCTCACATACTTTGGACATGTTATCAGGAGGGACCAGTCCCTGGAGAAGGACATCATGCTTGGCAAAGTAGACGGTCAGCAAAAAAGAGGAGGACCGTCAACGAGATGGATTGCTACAGTGGCTGCAACCATGGGCTCAAGCATAACAACCATTGTGAGGAGGGTGCAGGACCGGCCAGTGTTTTGTTCTCTTGTACATAGGGTCGCTATGAGTCGAAACCAACTTGATGGCACCTAACAACAACGTGAGCTCATAGGAGTCCCTGGGTAATATAAATGTGTAATGAGTTCAGCTGCTAACCAAAAGGTTTGAGGTTCTAAGTCCATGTAGAGATGCCTCAGAAGAAAGGCCTGCAGATCTACTTCTGAAAAATCAGCCATTCAAAACCTATAGAGTACAGTTCTACTTTGACACACATGGGGTCACCATGTGTTGGATGGTGAATCAACTCAATAGCAATTGGTTTTTGGATCAGCCCATAAACAGTCCCACTCCAAGACTTTTAACTTTGACTTCCTTCCCTCAACAACTCTCTCTTTCTCTTACTCCAGTTGTTAGGACCTGCTATACATTTGTTCAGCTGTGAAGATATAGAAGACATGGTCCCTTATATAGGTTGACAACTCTTGTTTCTATCTTTGCTCACTATTTACTCATACAGTCCAGAAAGGTATATAATAAGAAGTATAATTCTAAATCTATGCCTCAGCTTTATTCCTGATTTTTTACAAATTTCTTTGGAGAGTGGACAAAGATCCTGACTTTTGGGCTTCCCTAGTGAATACGTGATGAATGTTAACATTCTGGAAAGTAGTTTTTGCTGAAAGCTGGAGACTTCTTATCTGTCTACAGACTAGAATTAAGAAGGCCATTCTGACATCCAATCTTTTGATACAGTTTCTGAAGCTCTCTGTTTTGACTGTTTCAAAAATGTAGCAATTAAAATAAAATGAGGACGGTTCATTGTATTCTCTTAAATTTTTTAAAGAAATCTATTATAAACTTATACTAGCTCATCATTATCCAGAATCAACAAGTACTTATAACCTCTTCCAAGAAGACATACCTTTTGCATGTTATTACTTCTTATCTTTTGAAGAACTTCCTTCCAGGTTTTGTTGCAATCATAAGGATTTTTTTTTCTAATTGCTATTATTTTTTATATTATACCTCTTCTGTTTTTCTTACTTAATTATTGCATCAATAATTAATAACCATATTACCAAAAAATCTTGCAGTAAATTTAAATTTTATTTCTATTTCTTATACCCAGTGTCGTCTTCTTAGATTAATTTTGTTGGAGTACATCCTCAAGTAATTTTTTTCAGAGACTGTGTTTATAATAAAATTCCTGGGTCTTTTCTATAAAAAAAAAACAACTTTATTTTGCTTTTATTTTTGCATAATAAATTAGGTGCTCATAGGACACGAAGTTTACATTTTCTTTCCCTGAGCATTTTGTAGACATCGTTACATTGTTTCTAACACCCCATGTCACAGCTGAAAAGCCAGTCTGATTCTAGTTTTCTTACAGGTAATGCGTAGGTTATAGAATTTTTTTTTCTAAAATGCTTTATTATTTTTTTCTCTATCCATAGAGTTCTGAAACTTTTCAAGACTAGTGTCTAAGTCTGGATCTGTTTTCTAATATTTCACAATACACTCGGTAGGCTGTTGCATTATGAAATGTTACACTTTCAGGAAAATTATTTTATTTCTTTGATTTTTGGTTTGTTTTATTCTTTCGTCCATTCTGTGATCTCCATGGAACTTAACTTTGACAGATATTGAACCTTTTATATTGGCAGTTTTCCAGCGTTGCTGTGTATTTTTTTTTTCTCTTACTTTTCTATTTCTCCAGTCATTTCAGTGGGGTTAGAAGGATGGAGGAGAGGTATATGTGTATGATTGGTCAGTCCTCTTGAAACCAAAATCTTGTTTTGCCTTACAGTTTTACCAATATTCTATCATGTTTAGAAAACAACCTGTATTTGAACTTCTAAATAATCGGTTATAGTAATACTCAGAGTTGATTGAGTTATATAAAATATATTAGAGATATCATGTAGATAGATATTTTTAGATAAAATATTTTTAATGATTATTGTGGAACATTTAACATTTTTTATCTTTAAAAATATACATATACACATATATACCGTATTTTTACGCAAATAACATGCACCTACTACGTTTGTTTGGCAACGGTGTCCTCCCGTGAGGTATTTTTGTAAGTGCCACTATACCGATATTCTTTAAATGTTGTTGTAAAAAAAAAAAAATACAAAAATACCTCTTGGGCCATGGTTGGCAAATAAACGTAAAAGGAGCATATTATATGCGTAAAGGTAAACAATAATATATATGAATACATACACATACAAATACACACATTATATTTGGGATACAAGAAATGGGATAGATTTACCTGTAAGAAAAATCATGCATTTTCTTATTGTATTTAGATTGGCTTACTCAAATTGGTTTTTTTGACAGAATGGCCTGTGCTTCTTTTGCCTACTCATAGATTTAAAAAATATATTTATAAAGAAAGAATTGAAAGTCTTGGATCTGACAAAGGAATTTTTCTAATTTATAAACTTATTATATGCCTTCACAAAGATACAAAATAAACTGTGTTTGTTAGTAAGAATAAAATTACATTAAATCAGTTCTGGTGTTTAAAACCAAAGATGTACATTCTCCATAACCACATGTCTGTATAGAGTGTTGGAAACCCTGGTGGCTTTAAGTGCTACAGCTGCATACCAAAAGGTTGGCAATTCAAATCCACTAGGTGCTCCTTGGAAACTCTATGGGGCAGTTCTCTGTCCTGTAGGGTTGCTGTGAGTCAGAATCCACTGGACAGCAATGGGTTTGGTTTTTCTTTTTTTTTATATATAGTGTTAAGCATGTAGTTGGTATTTAGTAAATATATATTGGTTAAAGCAATAATAAGATGTGCTCTTTTTTCATTGATGGTAGACTTTATGAAAGACTTCTATAACTGAGGTGCTTTCCCTATCTCTTGGGTTTATTCACAGTAAACAGATCCGAGCTATGCTAGGCCAGTTCAGCCAGGTGGAAGCCTTATTAATGAAAGCTGGAGTGCAGCCAGGGTCTTTGGATGGAGTTCTTTTGGATCTTGGGTGTTCCTCCATGCAACTTGATGCTCCTGAAAGAGGTTTTTCCCTTCGGAAGGACGGCCCCTTGGACATGAGGATGGATGGTGGCAGGTGAGTACTGATAAAGCATTTCTCCTCACAACAAGAAATCAATTTCTCAAAAACACTCTGAATTTAATTTCCTTTTAAGACTGCAGAATTCCCATCACACACCCACAGATAACACTAACCATACGTAATAAATCAGCTTTATTTTGCTGCTCATTATAGAATTTAGTGTTTCTCTGGATTTGGGATTCTAAAACAAACAATTTTAAATTTTAAAAGAAAATCCATTCCTGTCCTTACGCGAAAATAGTGAGGAGCATAAATTTTATACTGATTATCTTTTCTACTGGTACAGTATAGGATTTTAGACTACTAACAATATTAATAAATATGATACTGAAACAATGGTTCCATTTTATGCCTGCAGGCACAACTATGCCTCTTCTCAGAAACAAAAAGAACTGTATTTAATGTATATTCTTTTAGAATACTCTATAAAAGGCAAAATCCTAGAAGTCAGTGATTGTATTTTTTGCCCCCTCTCTGATACAGTCATTTTTGGTTGAACCTACTACAGAGAAAATGCAGTTATGGTACTGTTGAATGCAGTACTATGCATAGAACAGCTTTTACACTGCCTCTTTATTCCTCACCATCTTGGAAATACTAAGATCTATATCCTAGACATAGTGAGCCAAAATTAACTGGTATTGCCCTTTTTGAATTGGACAGTCATATGGTCTACTATGCTAGGAATGACAAATTGAAGAGGAGAGGTGTTACATTCATTGTCAAAAAGAACATTTCAAGATCCGTCTCAAAGTACAACACTGTGAGTGATAGTATACTATCAATATGCCTACAAGGAAAACCAGTTAATATGACCATTATTCAAATTTATGCACCAACCACTAATGACAAAGATGAAGAAATTGAAGGTTTTACCAGTTTCTAAAGTCTGAAATTGATCAATCATGCAATCAAGATTCGTTGATAATTACTGGTGATTGGAATGTGAAAGTTGGAAACAAAGAAAGTAGTTGGAAAATATGGTCTTGGTGATAGAAACGATACTGGAGATCGCAGGATAGAATTTTGCAAGACCAATGACTTATTCATTGCAGGTACCTTTTTTCAGCAACATAAACAGCGACTGTACTCATGGACCTCTCCAGATGGAATATACAGGAAATCAAATCCACTACATCTGTGGAAAGAGGCGATGAAGATGCTCAATATCCTCAGTCAGAACAAACCCAGGGCTGAGTGTGGAACAGACCATCAGTTACTCATATACAAGTTCAAGTTGAAGCTGAAGAAAATTAAAGCAAGTACACAAGAGTTAAAGTACAACCTTGAGTATATTCTACCTGAATTTAGAGACCACCCAAAGAATAGATTTGACCATTGAACACTAATGACTGAAGACTAGACAAGTTGTGGGATGACATCAAGAATATCATACATGAAGAAAGCAAAAGGTCATTAAAAAGCAGGAAAGAAAGAAGAGACCAAAATGGATGTTAGAAGACACTCTGAAACTTGCTCTTGAACTTAGAATGAAAAATAATCATGTAAAGAGCCGAACAGATTTCAAAGGGCAGCTCCAAAAGGCAAAGTAAAGTATTGTAATGAAATGTGCAAAGACCTGGAGTTAGAAAGCCAAAAGGTAAACACATGCTCAGCATTTCTCAAACTGAAAGAACCGAAGAAAAAATTCAAGCCTCAAGTTACAATATTCAAGGATTCTCTAGGTAAAATATTGAACGACACAGGAAGCATCAAAAGAAGATATAAGGAATACACAGTCACTGTACCAAAAAGAACTGGTCAACGTTCATCCATTTCAGGAAGTAGCGTTTGATTGAGAACCGATGTTACCGAAGGAAGAAGTCAAAGCTGCACTGAAGGCATTGGTGAAAAACAAGGCTGTAGGAATTGATGGAATACCAACTGAAATGCTTCAGCAAATGGATGTAACACTGGAAGTGGTCACTGGTCTATGCCAGTAAATTTGGAAGACAGCAACCTGGCCAACTGACTGGAAGAGATCCATATTTGTGCCCATTCCAAAGAGAGGTAGTCCAACAGAATGTAGAAATTATCAAAAAAATATCATTAATATCACACGCAAGTAAAATGGTGTTGAAGATAATTCAAAAATAGTTGCAGCAGTACATCAACAGGGAACTGCCAGAAATTTAAGCTGGATTCAGAAGAGGACATGGAACAAGGGATATTATTGCTGATGTCAGGTGGATATTGGCTGAAAGCAGAGAATTCCAGAAAGATGTTTGCCTGTGTTTTATTGACTATGCAAAGGCATTTGACTGTGTTGATCATAACAAATTATGGATAATATTGCAAAGAATGGGAATTCCAGAACACTTAATTGTGAACATTAGGAACCTGTACATAGACCAAGAGGCAGTCGTTGGAACAGAACAAGGAGGGGATACTGTGTGGTTTCAAATCAGAAAAGGTGTGCATCAGGGTTGTATCCTTTCACCATACTTATTCAATCTGTATGCTGAACAAATAATCCAAGAAGCTGGACTATATGAAGAAGAACTCAGCACCAGGATAAGAGGAAGGCTCATTAACACATGTGATATGCAGATGACAAGCAACAAGGATTTGAAGCACTTACTGATGAAGATCAAAGACAACAGCCTACAGTATGGATTACACCTCAACATAAAGAAAACAAAAATCGTCACAGCTGAACCAATAAGCAACATCGTGATAAACGGAGAAAAGATTGAAGTTGTCAAGGATTTCATTTTACTTGGATCCGCAATCAACGCCCATGGAAACAGCAGTAAAGAAATCAAATGACATATTACATTGTGCAAATCTGCTACAAAAGACCTCTTTAAAGTGGTAAAAAGCAAAGATGTCATGTTGAAAACTAAAGTGCTCCTGACCCAAGCCGTGGTATTTTCAACCACCTCATATGCATGTGAAAGCTTAACAATGAATAAGGAAGACCAAAGAAGAATTGATGACTTTGAATTATGGTATTGGAAAAGAATATTGAATATACCATGGACTACCAGAAGAACAAACAAATCTGTCTTGAAAGAAATATAGCCAGAATGCTCCTTAGAAGCGAGGATGGTGAGACTTCGTCTCAAGTACTTTGGACATGTTATCAGGAGGAACCAGTCCCTTGAGGAGGACATCATGCTTGGTAAAGTAGAGGGTCAGCGTAAAAGAGGAAGGCCCTCAACGAGATGGTATTGACACAATGGCTATAACAGTGGGCTCAAACATAGCAATGATTGTGAGGACGGTGCAAGAGCGGGCAGTGTTTTGTTCAGTTGTACATAGGGTTCCTGTGAATTGGAACCGTCTCGCCAGCAACTAACAACAACCATAGCAACATTCAGGTAGGTACGTATATGTTAAATAACACAAAGAAGTTCACATTCTAGGAGACTATAGGAATAATAGCCGTGGTGGCACAGTGGTTAAGTGCTCAGCTGCTAACCGAAAGGTCGGTGGTTTGAACCCACCAGTCATTCTTCCTCGGGAGAAAGATGGGGCAGCCTGCTTCCATAAAGATTTACAGCCTTGGAAACCCTATGGGGCAGTTCTACTCTGTCCTATAGGGTTGCTGTGAGTCATAATTGATTTGATGGCAGTGGGCTTGGGTTTGGGTTTATAGGAATAATTCCCTATTTTACAAGCTTAGACTAACATCTGTTTCTTTATGCTGACCACTGACTGGGACTGAACAGCCTGTACCTACAAAGCTTAATCATGCCTTTCTCCCTCATATCCCCCTCGCCACCAAATTATGCATCATGGCCCCTACCTTTGGGAAACTTACCTTCTAAGAAGAAAGTTAGACTTTCTTGTGTCTAAATAAGCACATTGTTCTGTTACTGTTATTAATCTGAAATTCTTGGCCTACATAAATGTTTCTACTGAAATAAACAGGTTTTCCAAATTTTCTTCAGATCTATTAGAAAGTCTTATATGTGAGAAATTTAAGTGTCCACTTAAATAAACAAATTAATATTGATATGATTTTTACTTTTGTTTCCAAAAACTGTTTTTTCCTGTGATAATTATTCACATACAGCCTTTTCCCATGTTGTGCTGCGACCCATTAACTTGGATTGTGACCCATACGTTTTAGAATCTTTTTTGTTTGAGTCTTGTACTTTGTTTTGCACGTTGTTGGCATTCATAGAATGTAGAATGTGCTCATAAAGTAAATAAAAGAAAAGAAAAATGCTTTAAAAGCCAGTGACTAATAGTAAAGATCAAAACCTTCTCATGTTTGGAGATTGGGGTTGTTGTGCATAGGTAATAAAATATCAAGTAAACTTCTGCAGTTCCTATGTCTTTCTCAGGAGGATGCCTTCTGAAATACAGTGATCAAAGCTTCTACTTAATAGTAGTAAATCCCCATACTGTTGATGTAAAGACTTGTCAACAAATTATAGTTTGTGAATCAGGGCCCCTGAGGTTCTTTCCCAAGAACTTGAAAATAAGATTGCCCCTGAGAATTAAACTCTAAGTCAATACATAATGGATGAGATTAGAGTTGAGCAAATTTACTTTAAAAAGCAGACTGGTTTCTAAGTAGATAGAATACAGTAACCTAATTGAAGATATTAACAGATCTGAAGAAAGTATATGGCAGTCAGAAAGGGAGAGTCGTTTTACATGAAGGCATAGAAAAGGAGAATCACAGATGCAAATACGTGCAATGCTAATCCAAGAGGGAGTCCAGGCCAAAACATATGGACAGTCATATTCTAGACACTGATGTATCTCTGTGATGAAAATGGATGCAAGAGACTTTCTTACCTTTTTGACATTTAACATTGGATTCATATAACAAGTATCTTCTGTACCGATCCCGTGTTCAAAAACAGCTTTCTGATTATAGTAAGGCTTCTCGTTTAGCAGAAAAAATTCACATCTTCAAGGATTTGAGAGTCTAGTTTTTTTGGCAGTTATATTCTTCATTAAAGAGTAATAAATTAGCACTTAACATTAATGTTTTATTTCTCTTGTGAGTTTAGTCATTTTAAGTCAGTGAACTCCAGAGGACTGACAAGATCACACCTGTTAACCTGTTCAGTTGGGAAGCAGATCTTGGATCTTGACTTCTTCACTGTATGAATACTGACTCTGAAGCCTCCTAGCAGCCTGCCAATCTTCCACAGTGGAAGAAAAAGCCTTCCACAGAGGTGGAAAAAGTATGTGGTACCTATATATACCATGGGTCCCAAAAGGGTTTTAATAAGTAAGGCTGTGGTTAGCTCATCATTTAAAATTCTTTTGCCCATTTCTCTAAAGTAAAATAAACTGGAATTGTCTGACAGACTGAATGTTATTTCCTGCTACTATAATTTATTCTATTAATTTGGCCAAAGGGTGATATTTCTTTTTTTTTATCCCCCTGTACCTGAAATGACTATTTAGGCTTGTTCCCTAATATTTGATGATTACCAGGTTTCACCCCATGGTGACTTTTTTTCCTTGGTGGATAAGCCAATATTGTGAATTTTTTTTAATAAATATAAATTTATAGTCATTACTATTGTTCTGATTTTTGTGAGGGAAACTTACCAGCAGTATCTTCTTGTATAGACTTTCTAAGTTCAGGATGTGCCCCCACATAGCTAGTCAGTTACTTTATCAGCCTCAGATTTAGTTAAGCTCCTGAGATCTAGGCTCATTCAACTATCATCAGTAAGTAAGCCTTATCTTTTCCATACTAAGAAGAAGAAAAAAATTCAAGCAGTAATTTGAATTATAAACAATCTAAATCCAAAGATTTTCCATTATTTTAGTTTAGAGAAAAATTTACATGAGCAATAACAACTCTTCTTTGTGAATTAAAGTTAAAGGTTAGTAAAATATCTTAACTTCCTGCTCCCCTTGACCTTGATGAATGTCACAAACAGTCCCCACTTGGCGTGATGATGGGTATTCTAAATGGAAAATCTATTGCATTCATGTAAGATTTCAGTCTCTGACTTTAAAAACCTCACAAGCTCTCCTAGACTGTGTGTGTGTGCGCCTGACTTTATGTCTCAGTACTCTGAAGTTTCACCTCTTGTCAATGAAAACTGACGTCAGTGAACTAATTGGCTCTTCTTGTGCGTAGGTACCCTGACATGCCCACCGCTGCTGATGTTGTGAACGCTTTAGATCAACAGGCACTTGCATCCATCCTGAGAACATACGGGGAGGAGAAGCATGCTAAGAAAATCGCTTCAGCAATCGTTCAGGCACGCAGCATCTACCCTATCACCAGAACCCAGCAGCTTGCCAGCATCGTTGCAGGTACCCTCATTAATTCTGAACAGTATCCGAGAGGAAAGAAAATATATATGTATATATATTAATCCCCCAAACTCCCAGAAAGATTTATTTGTACTTAAAATCTTGCAGGATAGAACCTTGCCTATCCTCTAGTGTCAGCTTTCTTTTGGTTTTGCAAGCTTCCCCCCTCCAACACCTCTCCCACACACACAATTTAAAAAAAAAAAAAAACTGCTGCAGTTTACTGATTAGTTTAAAAATAGATTTTTTTTTTTTTTAAATCATGAGGTAATTCATCATTTGCACCTACCAAGGTGATACATGAAATGACAAAAGCAGAAGAATTTCTTGGTCTATCACAGTGGTTGATAAGTAGCCTGTATAAGATCTGACATTACCTCTTTTAGTTTCACATTTCTGCATTTTAATATTTTGGGCAAAAGGAGAATTTCATTGCCCAACTGCTAAAATAAAATCCAATGACTCATACATCTATTCTAAACAACCAGCTAACAAAGAGTATGTGATGTATAGGTTATACGACTTGGTGAATGCTAACTAAATCAGCCTGAGGGGCTTATTGAAACATTTTATCTTTTCTGCCCTTCGCCACCATAAACCTCTTGAACCTAAGTCTAGCTAGGAGGCACTTTATTATAGCCTTTCTGTTTGAAGACAAACTTGTTTCACAGCTGTGTTCCATGATGAAAGTTTTCCAAGGCAAAAATACAACTCCAGCAGTTATTAAACAGAATTCCAATAGTGAATTTTTCTTATTGTTAGACCATCTGAAGCTCTACATCATTTTCACTTAGTAGTTTATAAAAAGAACCCGATATTGGCTGCCTCTGCCTTAATACTATCCATAGTTTTTTTTTTTTTTTTTTTTTTTTTT